ATTTAGAAAAAGAAATGTTTTTTGAATTACGATCCTAGATGATTGAAACATAGTTTCTGTAAATGCTTTTCGGAGGCTATCGCTAGTGTTCGAATGTTGTCTCAATGACCTAGTGTTGTAGTTCAAAAAAATTTTTTACACAAATGCGGAGATGAATAGTAGACAAATGGGTTATGTCATGTCATATCAACCGTAAAGTAGGCAATTTGCTTCATGGAAAGTTTTTTTTTTAAACTGTCATGTATCGAAATGTAGCACTTATTTTCTTCTACTCATCTGTAAGGATTATGTTGTTGTCAAACATTTTCAGAGAAAAAGAATTTGATTTGATAATTGTACGAAAATTTCGTTGACGATAAAACGATTACCTCCGATTGTTATAAGTTCAGTTCTATTATGAAATAACTTTTAAGAGTTCAATCTTTGTATGTCTATATATTACAAATAATGACTGCACTATTAATAAAAACCGAGTGTCAAAAAACAGCTTCTTAATATAGTTACACTTTAAACAAAATTGTGCGTAAAATTTTGTTCACCACGCTCTAAGTGAGGTGGTCGAAAAATATAACATTGGATGATTCTCAGAAACCTAATATATGTGAACTCTCTATTGTTTAAATTAAAATGCTGCAATAAGTTGAATAAAATTCGTACTTTAGATATATATATATAATGTTCAAATAAAAGTGCTCAATAAATCTTTAACAAAGAAAGAACAGATATTTTCCATTCTTGTTTTTTTTCCTGCACAACCATAACAAATCACAACATTACTAGTAATGCGCATAGCATTCTACTAATTAACAAAAGAAGATGTCAACAATCATCCATTGACGAATTATGATTAGTGCTAGCGATAGTTAATCATTTTTAAGATCATCAGCAAGCGTCGCGTCATTATATTGACATAATAAGCGGTGTAAAAATCTTTGAAAAGATGTCAAACTCTGTTACATCATTTAAACCAAAGCAGTTTGTTTTTCCAGAAATATTTTTCCAAAACGAATCTACGAAAAAGGAAAAGCTAAAAGCCAGACACTTCTAAAAATGTTTTTGCAGCTTGAAAAGTTTCTGTTTCCATTATTTTGAGTTATATGAATCAAATTCTAATAAAACAATTTACAAAAATGTAGCGCATCAAAAGCTCAATCAATGTCAGTATTGGTACAGTTAGTTTAAATCCGTTCTCGACTCTTTATTGAAAAAAAATTTGGAAACTGAAATTTTTTGTAAAACAGAGTTGTATAATAACGATCAGCTTGAAAGGACATTAGCCACAATTTCCAGAAACCATGCACGAGTTGAATTTTTTGTGCGTTATTTATTCAAAATATGTCAAATCATAGATAATCATCATTAAACGTATTTTTTTATTCCACTTTTGATATAAAAAATTTAATGAAAAACGAAGAAATAGTGTTGCCCGATAGTGAAGTTACAAGACATTTTTTAGAGGTGTTTAGTTTTTCGCTTTTTCTCCTTCCAAGATTCGTTCTGGACAAATACGTTTCGTACAAAATATGTAGTTCAGATATTACTCTTTCTAACCAAAAAAAAATTCATTGGTTTACAAGTTGGCAATATGGTCTAACGAAGTTTGACATTGTTCCAAAGATTTTTGCACTGATTATTAACTAAAAAGAAGAATCCATATATTAGTCATAATACTCGCAGTTTTTTTGGGTGAATGAAACCTTATATCGGAAGTCAGAGAAAACTTGTACTATATTATTGAATACGAGTTACAATGAATAATAGTATTTAATATTCAAAATGTCTTTCACGTAATTCAGTTTTTATCTCGCTATGCAAAACAACTTCAAATTCATACAAGTAAAGTCTGGTATGGAAAAGAAAAAAGTAATTTTTGAGCGTTTATTAATCCTAAATTATCATTATTTTAGTGGACAAGGGGAATCTGTTTGTTTTTCATTATGATACCAAATCTTATTTGCATAATAATTGTCTTATTACATATAGAGTCATCTGTATGATGGAGCGATTAAAAGAAGAAATTTTTACATGAATCCATAGCTGTTTTCTTATTGTTTTCTTTTATAACATTAAGTCCTTTCTCCTTGAAGGAAGTCAATTTTCATAAGCAAAGTTAAAATCGAGATAAATACAGTAAAACCTCTCCATATGAGCACCTCCTTATACTGAACAGTCCAGAGTTCGCCAGAGTGATTTTTTCCGGAAATGAGCATCTATATTATGAGCACCTATCTCTGGTCCCATAAGTAATAATAACTTCCACAATGTGAGCAACACATGTTTCATCACTCGCGTGCAGAATGAGAAAAAAAAAGATATAATGTGCACTGCATTATGATAAACAATCATGGAACATAGAAAAAGGAGATGGACTAGTCATGTGTATTGAGAAAAAAAATACTTTTAGACTGTAACAACATTAGCTGGTAAAACATGTTTTATTTTGTATTAATGATCAGTAACATCAAATCATGCTAATACGTATTGATTCACCGTTGACTGCAAGAATTAATTCAATAGATTTTTGAAGAGAAGAAAAAGATCATCTTATTCAGTCCAAAAGCGATTGCTAATGAATACTTATCATCGGAAAACAAAAAACTGAAAACCTTCCAATAATGAGCACCTCTGTAAACTGAGCACTTTTTTCCAGTTTCGATGGTGCTCACATGTGAGAGGTTTTAATGAATATGGGAAAATAAACCGCTCCCCGTAATAGAAGCCCCTCCCATATTAGAAGCCTTCCCCCTATCAGAAGCCCCCTTTAAAGGATCTGTCCAGCAAAATTTTCAATTTTTCCCAGCAAAATCCGGCCAAAGTTTGCAAGGCCTAATAGAAGTCCCGGAGGGCTTCTAATATGGGAGAGGGTTTAGTCCTCAGCCTGATCTTTCATAAAGAACATGTTTTTTTATTTGGTATCTCATCTTTTTTGCAAAATTTTTGATGATTCTCCATCACTCATCTAAAACAATGCTTTATTTTGATGAAAAGCGGAAAATTTTTATGCTTTTTTCTGTTTATGCTTTTTCTGATCACGCATCTCAAAACTTTTCATAAATGTTCATTGTAGTTAACTTCTTTTTTCCTTTGAAAGAATGTGTGAAGATGCAAGGCATGACAGACTGTAGTTTTTTTAATTCAGCTTTTTTAGTATTATAAAAAGAACACTTTTATCACTAGGAGCATTATTTCTTCAGAGTTTCTCGAGACATTAAGTCTTGCATCCCTCTTCTCCACTCAAAAGGTAAGAATTAAAAAGAAAAGCATTCTAGCATATTTTTGTAGCAAAAGAAAAGTAAGAAGATAGAAGAAAGGTTTTAAAGATATTTTGGTTAGCAAATGAATTATTTTTTACTCTCGCTTGTTGAACATCTTCTGAAAACCTCATAATATAGCACTGAGAAATTTACTATATCTTGTCCACTACAGCTCCAATATATCCTAAAAAATTCATACGATTTAAATGTATTTGACGCAGGATTGATTTTTGAGGATATGAATTGACCTTAACAGAGACATATAAAATTTTTTTATATTACATATAGAACAATGTCATCTACGACCGACTTCGTTTCTGAATTGGATTTAGTCATTCGTTATTTTAACATTTCCGTCCAATCGTTTGTTTTTATTTTTGGCATGATTGGTAATATTCTCAACATCATTGTTTTCTTAAGTTTGAAAACATTTCGTAAAAATCCATGTGCTTTTTGTATGCTCATATTATCAATATCCGATAGTGGCATCTTAATATTTAATACATTGCCAAGTATTTTTGTGAATATCTTCAAAGATTACGGCGATGTCAATACAATGTTTCCATGCCAAATACCAATAGCTTTTGGACAAGTTTTCGGTTTAATGTCACACATGATTATGTGTTTTGCTGCTATTGATCAATGTAAGTCAACATCCATACATGAACAACGTCAAGGTATCAATCTCAAATATATGCGATGCTTTATTATCATTTCTATATTTGTTTCCATTTTACACGGCATTCCATTTCTTGTTTTTTATAATGCACAACCATTATCCGGATTAAATGCAACAGCATGTCTTCCTAATGATAGAAATGGACCATTCTCTAAATATACAATATATGTTGATTTTCCTATCATTGATGGTTTTATGCCTATCTTCATCATGAGTGTATTTGGTCTAATTGCTTTTCGTAATGTTCGTATTATGGCTAAGAGAAGAGTGCATATTATACGGCTACGTTTAGAACAACAATTAACGGCAATGGTTTTAATCAGAATTCTTGGTGTTTGTATTACTGTAATTCCATTTCTTATTGTTTATGTTATTCGATACATAATATCATCGCATAGCAACGATCCTATTGTTCAAAAAAAACTCCAACTGCTTAATCGTGTCTTTACAATTCTGTTCTTTGTAAATTATGCAGTGAGTGAAAATGGTGTACCATCTTTTGTTCACTATTTATTTAATTAATATTATTTTTATCTTAGGATAGTTTCTATATTTTTCTTTCCACTTCTGCTCGGTTTCGTCGACAATTGAAATTTGTTCTATTTGATGTATATTTGAAAAAGTGGCGTGCAAAAAGAAATGCCAATCGAGTTCAACCGATTGAAAGAAGTTTTGTTTTTCCAATCAGTACTAATGAGGAACATCATTAATAACAACAAATAGAAACAATGAAAACATTTCGTATTACTAATATTGTACACCGTGTTCTCGTAATTATAATGACACCGGATCGGAAATAGTATTATTGCAGGGGGTTGACGCTATAGTTTCACATAGCATCAACAACACGTTTTATACCGAATTAAAGCGCGTCGAAAATGGGATTTACCAATACTAAATAGTAAGAATCATGGTAACTTTTCAGAATTGAATTCAGGAAATTGTTGAATTTTTACGTCATGTCGACGTATTAAAATTCTTCTCATGAGACAGTTCAAACTAATTTCATTTAAAATGATGATTATCACAAAGTAGCCGATACTTCGCCTGGAAACATGGAAACAAATAATCAAAAATGGAGTCAAAAAATGCCATCAAAGCCGAAATATACTCCTTATCACGAAGAAACTGAAGAAAAAACACTTCCGATATTTTGACAAAAATGGAAAAAAGCATTGAATTACGAGAAACTTTTTAATGTTCGTATGCGTCTTATCTCGGTGCTAAAAAGAATGCTCATGGTTATCATACTGATTACTGATTATTTTATATTCACCAAACCTTAAAAAAAAAATAAATAGTACTTTGTGATATTCAACATTTTGAATGAGAGACAATTTGAATTGTGTCATGAGAAGAATTTTTATATGTCGACATGGCGTAAAATTCAACAGTTTTCTGAATTCGATTCTGAAAAGTTACCATAACCCTTACTATTCAGTGTTGATAAACTCTATTTTCGACGCACTTTAATTTTGTAGAAAATATGTTGTTGATGCTATTTGAAACTATAGAGTCATCCCCCTGAAGTCGTATTATTTCCGACACTGTAGAATGAGTGATCTATTATTTGTTTAATAAAATTGATATTCCACACTTTTCATGAGCGATGTGAAACTTTAGGATGGCATAATTTACTAGATGATTTTCTACAACAACAGAAATATGTAAAAATTGAACGAAGTCTCATTCATTTAGACATTTTTTTAAATTAAAGATAATGCAAACTTATCACTGTATCATTGTTTGCGAAAACTGCTAATAAATGATCCGTACATCGGACAGTATTCAAATGAAAATTTCTCAAAACAAAAATGTTTTATAAGTAATCATCTTTTTCTTAATGAAATAAATCAGTAATAGATTTATGTTGCTTGATCAATTTCTGTTCAAAACCAAACATTGATTATTTACTTCGAAAAATATACTTTATACTACAACATGCCCTAGGGAATTGTTTTATCAGCACAAATTTGTGATCAGAAAATTCCATTTTCAAATTTCAATTCACAAGCATTCATGAAACAAAGATGAAATCTTTATTTATTTTACTGTATATACTAATCAAAATGAGCTTTTGAACTTGTTATAGTACAAAAAATTCTTTCATCCTATAAATGATTATCTTAAGTACTTAGGAGAGGATAATTTTCTGTCTAATCATAGTTTGACTTAGCATTTAAATTACTAATAATAGCGATCTCAATTGACATCAATTTTGAACAACGCAATAATAAATGATTCTAACACCTCATTTTAATAGAATAGGATGAGAAAATGGCCTTTTTCTTTGAATTATGTATGAATCTTTTCAATAAAATAAAATTTTTGAATGTTGTTTAAGTAGTTTGTTAAAATTTACACAAATATAAATAATTTGTAATCACTATGCTTATTTGAATAAAACGTGCAAATCAAGTTTTTTTTTAATTATATAAAAGATCAAATATTGTCCCTAGATAGAAAGGATGTTATCTAGAAACAGCAAGTCATCTGCATGTATCGGTCTATATGTCTCTCACAACTGCGCACCAAGTAACCATGATTCAAATGACAGCAGAAAAGATTATAAATGTCGTATCTAGGCACGATAATTGACATTAATCAACGAGTAGTATTCAAGGACGAAGAGTACGAGACCCGTATACATTTCATATTTTATCACAGGGACAGTATTTTACTGTATTACACCACTTAGTATTGCGACTGTATGTATCCGTATCATTTAAGAAGAAATACGACTATTTGCGGCGACCTAATGAGTAAAACGGAAATTGTATACAAACTCTGTAAACTATCCAATTTTTTGTTATCATATAAACAGAAATAGAACCGTAATACTGAGCCACGTAATATATCAATATACGACCATTTATGAGTGCTTACGAGTGTGTTTATTCTACTTCTAACGCCTTTAGAAATGATGAAGTCTAATGAGATTATTGATTGATAAATAAATAAAAAATTGATACATGCGTTTGAATACACAATTATGATAAACAAAAATCATATTCTTTAAGTAATGTGGTATACTTTTATTTTCGAATACGAATAAAAAGACTATCATATCGACACAATACTGTGTGTATACATTTAAAAAATTTCTAATGATCATACAAAAACTAGAATATAAATTACTCATAGGGAAAAATAACAGAATGAAAATTTCTAGGTAATAAAATGCATCATCTAATAATGTTACATTCAATAAAATATATTTATATTTAAATATCATCAAAATCAATCGCTCAAAGGTATACTATTAAGTCAATCATACATTCTTAATCTGATTAATTAACTATTTATTTCATAGTGAAAGACTTTGTGTTAATTTAAACTTTCAATTTAAAATTCTCAAACTTCAAGCATCAAACCCTTTAATGGATGAAATATTATTTATGATAGCATATCATTCATAATTTTTTTTTGAAGTGTAATTTCACTAAAACGCTGTTTTAGTGTTCACTGAATTTTTACCAATAGTATAGTCATTGTCTATAGTATATCCACATAAAAATTGAGTTGTAGTTCAACTGCTCTTATAATAGTTCGAAGGAATCACTTCTTCAAAAACGAAATTTTTCGTATGATTTTCAAAACAAATTATTTTTCTTTCAAAATAGTTTACCCTTCCCCCGCCCCCCCCCCCCCCCGCCCTTCCGCCAAACATGTGTGGGTCGCGTGGCGTCGTGACGCTCTGTGTTTTGTAGTTGAGT